CCACCGCTGTACCACAGTCGGTCCCTCTTGTGCATGGCCACCTTGCTTTGAGAATACCAGGAAACCATGTGGAACTGCGCATAGACAAACACCTACCCCATCCCGTGGAACAGCTGCACTGATACTTAAGCAGGAACACACATGCTTGCACATAAGTGCATGCATGTCAATATCACAAATATGTATCTACACACACATAGCTTCGAGCCATTTTCTTATTTCTCTTTGATGAAGGAAAACCAAGAGCCTAGCTAGGCTTCTCTTCCACCATGCCCCTCCCACTCACTTTGTAATTTTCTCGTCTCTGCTGAGGCCTTTTGACCTCCCTTCAGCTCCACAACGAGTGTGGCTCATCTCTCCTGTCCACACCCGCACATTCCAAACCTTCATACAAGCCTCTCCTCTGCCTGATACTTCTGTTATTTCTAGCCATACCCAAGGACACCTGTGCTGCTAGGTCCTGGGTATCACCCTGGGAACTCATGAACAGTTTCTGGGCCGGGAGACATCAAAATTTTCGGTCACCCACTGAGCCTCTGCCTCTGGCTAGATGATATCAGGTTCCATTCTGAGATTTGAGGAGCCCCTCAAGACCCAGGAAAACCCAGGTAGACTCTGAGAAACGGCTGGCAGGAGCCTGACCTCAGCTGGTAGGACTGGCTAAGGTTCCATTTAGAGCGTGCCCAGACTTCTGCATCCATCATCATCCCCCAGTTCCACTGTTCTGGCACTCGCCCAAGTGTGAGCAGACCCCACAGAGGTGCTAAAAGAGTTCTATGTAGGGTTGTCAGCTTGTTTGCTTCGGGTATCTGGTACCCTGGTGATCTAGCAGAGGACGGCCCCGCCATGCCTTCACTGTGACAGTTGCTTGCCTGTGACACGAGCTCACTGCCTGACCACAGTTTCTCCTTTCATCCCTCATTGCCCTCCAGCAACCAGTGGCTACTTATCAAGGACCACGCGACCAGCCCTTGGCTCTGGGTTTCTAGACATTAACAGATAGGGCTCCGGGCTGGCACCCCGCTGCCCCCACACACACACACACACCATGCTCCCCCAGTTTCCCTGCAGCCTCGTGGTGGTGAAACACACATTTCCTGAAGCTCAGATCACATGTCCATAAACAGAGAAACTTCTTTGCCTACCACTTGAGACCAAAGGCCAGGCTGCTTCTCTTTATTCTCAAGATCCAGCGCTGGGGAAGGGGCCACCGAGGCAGGAACAGGATGGGCAGTTAAGGGTAGGTAGGACTGTGCCATGCTCTGGTGCCCTGCCTGCCCACCACCACCATCTCCTCTCAGTTCATCAGGGGTCCATCTTCCCCCTGCTATGGTTTCACCAGTCTTAGGGAGATGTGGGCCCACCAGGAGACACTGCAGAGCAGCCAGGTACAGTGCGGCGGAAGTAGCAGCACAGAGGGTTGGTACCTCACTTGTGTGAGCTGACCTACAAAGAACAGGCAGAGTTCCAGCAAGGGACACCCTAAAGCAGGGGTAGCCAAGGAAAGCAGCAGCGGCGCCAAGAACAAGCAGGGCCTGACAAACTCCTCAGAGCCACACTGTGGGAGGGGCAGGACCAGGTGGTGTACATCGCCGGGAAGTAGACAGGCTCTTCTGTTCAGATACAACTCTGGAACCAAAGCAAGGGACTGTCCCCACCGTCACTCAGGAATGGTAACTCTAGGGTCCCCTACCTAGACTAGGATCTCCTATCTAGACTAGACCATGTGCTGAAAGTATGGTGACTGTTAACCTGTCCCGAGGATCCTGCTTTTCATGGCAGCAAGCAGTTTGAGAGGCTCATTTAGCAGTACCATGTTCTCCGGATGGCCTTTGCCACTAACGCCATCCAGATAAAGGAGAACCCGATGGGGAGGCCTGACTATCTATACCTTTGACTTTTAAAACGCTGAAGAACAAGGTGTTAACAAGGAACCTCCTCAGCCAGGCCTCAGGAGGGAGGGTGTTACCTATCATGCTGAAATGGCATGAAACGGTGTTGGTTGATTGCTCTTCCATAGTGCTCCCCCCAGTGCTCTCCCCCAGGACTTCTCAGATTGCTTCCCCCTAGTGCCCCCACCCCACCCCCATTTTCTTCCCCAGTGCTCTCCCCCAGAAGCTGCTAGAAAGGCTTCCTGGAAAGACACACACACACACACACACACACACTCACAGCAGGCTGAAGGTAATACACACCTTTGTACCCTCAGGGCAGGGGAGGAGGCAGCTATCAGGTCATCAGTGTGGACTAGGAGCCATTCATATTGACCTCTCCATGCTCACAGACCACGAAGAGAGGCTCAGGCGAGCCCTTGCCCTCGTGGGATGAGACATGGGGCCTTATCAATGCCATGACATTTGCTAACAAACCCTTTACCTAATGAAAGTTCATTAAAGGAAATGTATGTGATGGGGTAAAATACACAGCAGGGACACACCCCCCCCCCAAGCCCTGACTGAGAAATAGCTCCCTGGACCTTTATCCACCCAGGAGCGTGGCTCCAGGGCACATGTGTGCGTATGCTGTTTTGAGTGCCACCGCTGAGCACGTGCGTCTCAAGACCTCTGTTCTCAGACATCTTGGGATGGTCTGAATGGCATCTAATCACTGGGAGCGGCTCTACACCTGGGGTGTCTCAGCCATACTCCTTCATGGCTGCTCAGGAGGTGGGGATGCCGACAAGTAGAGACAGTCTGTCACCTCGCCCCCCCCTTCTACTCTACTGAGTACTGTGCCCACTGTGCACTGAGCACTGCTCTGCTCATGGCAGAGGTAGAGCCGGGGTAGGCTGCTCACTGTCTGCCAGGGGAAGAGGGCGAGAGGCATCGGCACACAAGGCCATGTGTCACACATGGCTGAGAGCAGCTGTGGAGGCACCAGTGAGGAGCGGGCAGGGGTATAGATGGGTTCTGGCTGAGGAGGGAAAGATACCATGATGATGCTCCCAGGGGCGGAAACAGTGGGATGGTAACCGCAGCTGGCTGGTACTTGCAGAGTGCCAGGCTCTGTGCTGGATGCCCTGCTCCTCCCATGTATCAGTGAGCACCAGGGACAAGCTCAGAATTGTGGTGTGAATTACCCAAGGTGCTGAGAGGCAGTGGGGTACCTGGCCAAAAGCTGTGTGAAGAGTGAGATTTACACCAGGGGCCACAGCCACTGGAGAAAATCAGAACTGTTGGCCCTGGGGCTTTGGGTCGGAACATGGTTGCTGGGTAGGACAGAGAGGGGCACAGTGCGGGGGATGGGGCTGCCATTTCCTAAGGGTCCAAGTCAGATGGCTGAGGAGTGCCTGGGGAGGGGGAGGTGGGTAGGTTGAGTCCCAGATGCTGGCCATACCTAGGAGTGGAGGCAGAGAGAGGTACTTGCCTAGATTAGGGGCTCTGTCTGCCTTGCACCTTTTCCCCCAGAGCCTGCTAGCAGGGAAGGAGACTTTAGATGGGTTATAAGTGCCCGTGGCACAATAGCCAAGCAAAGACAGATCACAAGAAAGAAGGTAAGAGATGTGTCTTGGCAGGATGAGGGCTCCCAGTTAGAGGCAGAACTGAGCCCCCTGCTGGAGGAGACCCGCCCCAGCTACCCAGCAGGTCACAGAGGTATCTAGTAGATGACTTCCCCCTGGTGGTCAACAGGTGTCACTGGCTCCCGCTGTGAGTCCAGCTGTTCCTCATTAGCACCCAGGCCCCAGATCTGATCTGGGAAAAATTCAGCCTGAAGCTGCATAGGACCGGATCAGAGCAGCCACGCCTGGACTCAATGACTCCCAGTTTTCTGAGAATACCCCCATCCCCTCCTGCCTCTCTAGACAGATTATCACCATATTACCCTGATTTGCAGGCCTTGGCCATGCTTCGAAACCTGTGCCTCGCTATTGCTTACTCAGGACCCTATGGTACTCCCGTCTGCTAAGTCCCCCTGGAAGGGACTGGGCGGGGAGTGGGGGGGGGGAGGGGACAGAGCTCTGTCTTCTCAGACTATACACACTCTGTGCATCTGGCCCTACAACAAAGATGGCCCTGTGTCCAAAGGGATGAAAGTTGGGAAGACACCCAGTTTTCCCTGGCTTCCTTCAGGCAGGGACACCGCCAGGACTACACTGTAAAGCAGAGTGGGGCTGAGTTCCCTCCATGTCCTGGAGTGGTGGGCACCCACGGCGGGGGTCATACCGACGAGCTCCAGTCAGACATACAGACTCAGAGGGCACAAGGTCAGCCAGGTCCACTAGGCAAGAAGGAGTGGCAGAAGAGAATCCAGCATGGGGGCAGCAGACAAGAGCTTTGCACAGCTCCCTCCTGCCCATCCTGCACCTGGCGTCAAGCAGATCGGCCAAGTGGAAGGCATTGGCCACGCATATTTGTTTTGCTGTGGGTTGGGCACTGACCCTGAAGTGTTTGACAAACTGTTCTGCTGTTTGCTGAGGCCCTGTGGCTGATCCCTTTCCCCGTCCAGCCTGAGGTGGGCCCAGGAGGTAGCTCATGCTGTTCTCTTTCTCGTTAGGTGAAGGGCCGGATGCGAGGCAGGGAGCCGGAGCAGCCTGAGGCAGGGGGGCCTCGGGAAGCGCTGGGCCCTCCAGCCGTGCTTAGAAGCATCGCCACAGCAACCAGCAACCAGACAGCAGTGGCCTGGGCAGACACTGCCTAGGCAGACGCAAGCGGACAGCTACTACGGGGAATGACTACGGCAAATCAGGCCACACCGCTGACAAGGGAGGTGGAGTGTCACTAGAGGGGAGGGTGTGGTCTCTGCCCCACTGCACTGAGCACCATGCCCACAGGAGAAGAGGTGCTAGGGCAGGGATTGCAGTGTGACGCTGCTGCCTGGGCCTTGCCCCCAAGCCAGTGCTGAGCACGCCCCAGTCAGCTGTCTTCTCTCGGCTGCCTGTGTCACGCCAGCCCACACCTCAGCATCCCTCACGGTGACCGTTCTGTCTGTTGGCAAAAGGGGGAGAGGCACCCATCCTGTGCTCTGTTTCGGGGAGGGGGTGGGCCTCCTGCTGCCGGACCATGGGATGTCGGCAAAGCTCAGAGGAGAAAGAGGCAGCACGGCGGTCCCGAAGAATTGACCGCCACCTGCGCTCAGAAAGCCAGCGGCAGCGCCGCGAGATCAAACTTCTCCTGCTGGGCACCAGCAACTCGGGCAAGAGCACCATCGTCAAGCAGATGAAGATCATCCACAGTGGCGGTTTTAACCTGGATGCCTGCAAGGAGTACAAGCCCCTCATCATCTACAACGCCATCGACTCGCTGACCCGCATCATTCGGGCCCTCGCGGCCCTTAAGATCGATTTCCACAACCCGGACCGCGCCTATGATGCCGTGCAGCTCTTTGCGCTGACGGGCCCAGCAGAGAGCAAGGGTGAGATTACACCCGAGCTGCTGGGCGTCATGAGACGACTGTGGGCCGACCCTGGGGCTCAGGCCTGCTTTGGCCGCTCGAGTGAGTACCACCTGGAGGACAATGCAGCCTACTACCTGAATGACCTGGAGCGCATCGCCGCACCTGACTACATCCCCACGGTGGAGGACATCCTACGCTCCCGGGACATGACCACGGGCATTGTGGAAAACAAGTTCACCTTCAAGGAGCTTACCTTCAAGATGGTGGACGTGGGCGGGCAGAGGTCAGAGCGCAAAAAATGGATCCACTGCTTTGAAGGCGTCACGGCCATCATCTTCTGTGTGGAGCTCAGTGGCTATGACCTGAAGCTCTATGAGGATAACCAGACGGTGAGTAGAGCCTAGGTTCCTACTGTTGGTTCCGGGGAAGCAGGTGGACTCGTGTGAGCAAAGAGAGGCTTCGGTCAGAACTGGTCCTCAGGGCGAGCGTGCCCCCACGTTCTGTGCCCAGGGGAGTGTGCTGTGGAGCACGGTGAGTGTACTGATGCCACAAGGCCTCAATGGGCACTTCTGTCAAGTTGTGAACCCCAGTGGACAGGATCATGCCGGTGCCCCATGAGACCTCAGCTTCCCATGACTCCTCCAGTCTGAGGGACATCACTTTGACTTAGATGACACTTAACAAGTAACACCACACCCCTAGGCTCCACAGGGCTCACACCAGGCAGGGCCCCCACCTTTATCGGCTCTGACTGCCCTCCCCCAAGCTAGAGATGGAACTTTGGAACTTCCCTTGTAGTGCTTGGCTCCGCTGTCCAGGTTTCCAGGTCACCCTAGTCTCGGTTCAGTGACTAGATTGTGCCCATGCCTTGCACAGAGGACATGGAAGGCTTTGAGGCCTGGACGGGCGTCACTGGTAACCAACGTGCTCAGATCCAACTGAGGCAGAAGGTTAGATGCCCAAGTTGCAGACACCCTCCCCAGGAATAGCAGTAGTGGAAGCCTGCTTGTCAGACGGATGGTAGCTCTGGACTGTCTTCCTCAGTATACCTATTGTACCAGGCAGGAACACTAGACAAAAACCCAGGACCTCCCTTTACAGCTCAGGCCCCGGGAACTGGAGAGCAAAAGTCCTCTAAGAATCTGAGCAGGATTGTGGATGCCTAGATCTGTAGTAACCTAGAGGAAGGTATTGATGCCAGTGGGGAACCTGTGGAAATGTCACCTCCATCATGCTATGGAGACAAGGATCCAGCCTTTCCACTTTGGAGCACTGGTCTCTAGGGCCAATGACAAGGATGGGGCTTCTTTCTTCATCTGGTCTTGTTGAGGCAAGCAATGACTATTCTTTGAGTTCCCCCAAGGACTCTAACTTTGGGCCTGTGCCCCCCCCCAAGGTATGTGTGGAAGGCTGAAGGCTCTGACCACATCTCTGGATGTCTGAGTATTCTGGACATAGAGAGAGCCTGTAGCCTGGTCAGCAACCATGAAGACAGGAGGCAGGGCTCTCTTCACCATCCCTCCAGCATCCGGGTATCCTGGGATCTGTGCCAGATATTGATACTATTCCCAATGAGTGAGGTGATAAGCTTGTAGATGTAGGTGGCCCTGTTGCCACCTGTTGTCTACTTCGTGCCCAGGCTGTGTCTGTCTATGAGTGAGCCATCTTCAGGGTTCTTGCCCATCCAACTTTGTCGGCTGTTCCCACTCTAGCAACACGTGTGGTTCTAACTAGAAGTGGCATCCTATCAGAGAGAGGCATGACCTGAGGCCAGAGTTTGGGGTTGACCCAGATGTCAACGCAAAGCACAGTGCCTGGGGTTGGTTGTGGGAACAGAATGTTGGAAGGTTGGCCGGCCATCACGGCTCTCTATAATTCTCTACACTCCTGTATTGTGAGATTGATGTCGAGCTGTAAGGTTAAGATACCTTTATTCAGATAAGCACCAGCCAAACGCAAGCCAGAGTGTGCCCAGAGGCAGCAAGCTAGGGAGACTAGAGAGAGGGACTCCCACGTGTCTGCCACCCCCTTAAGAACTCCCCACGAGTCATCCTGAACCTCCCCTGACCACGCCCTGGCAGGCGTAGTCAAGCACACCTGTACCTAGCTCCTAGGAGGCAAGGCTACAATGTCTCCCTACACTCCTGCTGGCAAGAAACTGCTCGAACAGGCCTTTCGAGCCTGGATCTGATGGGCCTCATCTACCATCTCCAGTGGAAGCCTGGCAGATTCCCCCAGGACCAAGCTCCCAATCCCATCTCTTACAGACTGTGCCCATAAGTGTACCTGGATCCATAGGCAGGATGCTTGGTTCCCAAGTTTCATGACCACCTCTTCCTTCAGAATCTGTCATCAAAAAGTAGCCCCAAGCTTTCCCGGCTCTGCCTGGCCTTTACCCACCACTGTATTGCCGCCCTTCTCTGCTTGTGCTGTCTGTGGCTTCTTCTGCTTGCAATGCCTCTCTGTCCATCCAACAGTTCACCACCATCCTGCCCCTTCCCTCTCTCTCTCTCCCCTCTCCATCTGCACATCAGGACTAGAACTCAAAACTTCATTGGATGCCTTCCCCGGTCATAGCCTGGAGCCTGCACACTCCTCACGGAGTACTTTGTAACAGCGAGGATCAGTGCTCACGTGAAAGCAAGGGGCTCCGTGGGATAGGCCCTGGGAGGACTGAGTGGGGCTCTGTGACCTCTTGTCTCGGGCCCATCCCTGAGCGGATTTCGGTGAGGCCCATGCTCAACTGTTACAGAAACCAGGCTGAGGTCTACCAGGGCAGCTCCTAAAGGGAGGGGTCTGCATCTCTCACCTTCTCCCCTTACCTCCCATGTCCCTCATGCTCCCCCCTCCTCTCTCTCCCTCTGTCTTCTCTCCCTCCTCTTTCTCTCTCATCCCCATGGGTCTGAGGAAGTTGTTCACCAGAAAAGGAAATTCTTGACGGCAAACCCTAACAAAGCTGGAAATTCACTGGATTCCAAATGGTTCTGACCTTTCATGCTCCACCAGGAATATCTGGCGATAGAAAACAAACAGGCTGCCGGGGACAGACAATGCCATCCTCTGACTCCTCCCATTCACTGCCCTGGTGGTGCCAACAGTAGGCACCTCTCACCTCTCCCTCCAGCCAGATGCTGAGACAGGGCTGCCACCAGCCGCCTCCTCCCCCTCCTGGAATGCCCTCAAAGTCCCAGCCCCAACAAGGACTTGGCCAAAAGCAGACCACACCACTTTTGCGAAAGCTCAGTGAAGTTTGGGGCTTGTGCCAGGGCTGTGTGCGCGGCTCCTCAGAGCTCTCCTTCCCTGCTCAGCTCCAAGGCCCTCTTGCCTTTCCTGTCACAGAGGCTGGGGGGACCCCTCCCATCCCCACTCCTGGAGAAGGAGCCATTGCCCCACCCCCATCCCCCAGCCCGCCTGCCGCCTGCCGGGTTTCTGCGTCAGCGTGTTGCCAAGGAGAGCTTCGGCATCTCCAGGCTTCTGGGCGCGAGGGCTGCAGTGAGCACAGGGCAGCAGCGCCTTGGAGGTGCTGGTTTCCAGGACATCCATGGAGTGTGGCAGGAGGCACATATGAGGAACCATGCCATGTGTGTCCATGATTCATACACTCGTCTCCAGGATTTGACAGGTCTTCAGACTGTCTGAGTCTCCAGCCTCCTGGCAACCTTGACAAGTGGCTGTAGACTCCAAACCTAGGTGGGCTTCCAGCGCTGTTTAGTATGCTCCCGGATGCCACCAGAGGCTGAGCACATCGCAGGGACATATGGGGATTTCTCTTGTGTACCACCCCCTGACTTATCTGGCGAGCCAGCAGCACTTGGCTGCCTACCCCCTTCTCACCCTCCCATCTGAGGATTTTTCACTGAGCCAACTCCAGGGCTCAGGCAGACACAGGGTAGAGGCTTTGTCCTCAGATAACAGATGCAGGTCAGTCGGTGGCCACAGGAGGATTGTGACCCAGGAATATAACAGACCCAGCAGCCCGTGTGGAACCATGACCATGGCTATGACCCATAGGAGCCCTCAGGACCCCAGGTCTGTGGAAGTGGAAGGCAGCAGACATCTGCCATCCAGCCTCTCCCTTTGCGGATCAGCTAATGGACACTAGAAGCCACTTAATGGTAGAGGGACACTTTAGAAGAGACAGATTAAAAGGCGTAGCAGTAAAGTGCCAAATGTCCTCCTATAGAAACCCACAGAGAGCTCACTACCCTGAGTCCCACAGTGGCCTGCTGTGTGCCTGCTGTGTTCCTGCTGTGCTGATACAAGGCCTGATTGGGGTGGCGAGACTAGGAACTACAGGTGAGCATACACCAACTTCTGATAGCGCAGAGTTGATCGTCACGTGGGGGATAGTCTTACATGGCGACTACTTAATTCTCCAAAGTCCTTACACTACCAAGGATACCTGCCCCTCTTCCAGAGCTAGCAGGCATAGTTGCCAGGGCTGTTCCCCCACTTGCTTTCATGTGGCATCAGCGGTGGTCACTTGAGCCCCACAAGTTCCACTGAGCTTTAACAAGGCTCACCCCAGGGAGACCTCATGCTCACCTAGTGGACAGCTGGTCAGCAGAATCGAGGAGACCAGCAGATGCAGAGTATTATTTTAGGCTGAGGCGCAATCTGCTGGCACATGGGCCACTCAAGTGACCCTCTAGGCTGACCTGCCCCCCAACAGTCAGCAGCAGGACCTTGGGAATCCTCAATACAGGATGTCCCCACTCTGCCTCCTTCTCCTGACCCAGTTAAGGACACAGCTCTATCAATCGTGTCTAGTGTTTAGAACCATGCCAGAGAGGCTTGTGGGCTACATGGAATTTGTTTATGATAGCCACAAATCGTGACCCTGGGATGATATCGACAGGGACTCAAACCTTGTGGGGTAGCATGGCAGAGGAGCTTGGGTCTCAAGGACTGGTGGCCCCCTGGATGGCATGACTCTGAGAGACCCTATAGAAATATGACACAGGAAGGGCCAGAACGAAGTAGGTGCCCAGTAGCAAGCAGGACCCAGCTGTCCAGACCATCTTCCCAGCCAGTGAGGGCGGGGAGAATCCATACTCCTAGGACCCTAGGCTTCACCTAAGACTCAGTATTGTGCTGTCTTCAGCCTGTGATGGGGAGAGGGGTAGAAAATGGAGACCACCCTGGCATGAGGCCTTTGGGCCTGCCAACTGGCATTTCTGATACTTGTGCCGAGGCCTTCCATCTGCTCTCGGGGACACATGAGCTACAAACACTCAATGTCAGCAGCGCCCTCCCACGGCCCTCTTTCCTTGTCATGCTGGGTGCTTCCAAGGACAAGGCCATTCTGCTGGTCCCCTTCCTACAATGGCTTCTTGCTCTTGGCAGGTCCTTAGCAGGCCTGCGCCCTGGGATTTGGGACTTGCCTCTC